ACTCATGAATCTGCTACCATCACCACACCAACTCAACCCTTTTTCAGGTGATGGCTTGGCCATACCTTGCAATTAAAATTATTTCTCAGATTGCCTCTTTCTTTGCCTATTACCTTAGTGGTAGTAAAATGTTTATCACCACATCCTCTGAGTCCCCTCGACTTTTAAAAATCCTTAAATCTCCCCTTAATCTGTGCCCAAGGCGAATAACTCCAGTCTCTCCACGTAACAGAAGCTCATCTGTTCTGCACCAGCTTGTTGACATATTTGCACAGTGGTGCCCATAAATGAATAATACTCCTTCTGAGACATAGCAGTGATTTAACGCTTTATACGGTTTTCTTGAATTTGGAACTTATGCTGCTGTGGATAAAGCCAGTGTACATATGATTAAAGTGACTCTCAAAGATGCTTCTCTGTCTCAGTACTAGCAAGCTTTTGCTGACAGTGAGAGTTCAGGAGTGGGAAGCACCAACAGAAACATTAAAACAAAAAATAAATGCACAGTTATAAAAAAATTCCCAGCACTTCCAAACCTTCGGGACTCACCTCCACAACCAAACAGCTCTAGCTTTTGATTGAAGCTAGACCCAGAAACAAATACTGAAAGCAGCAAGTTACATTTTTCTCTTTTTAAAAAACTATTATTTTTAAAAAAACAATGTAGGAATATAGCAATGTAAAATATTTCAACCTAGGGGATATGATGCTTTATTATTTAACTTTTTCCCCAGATAAGGAAAGTCCTACAGAAATAGTTTTATCAAACATTTTGCTTCAAGTCGAGATTTTCAGCAATGCAACCGTAACTTTAAGCGGGGACTTACTATCTTGCTGGGTTGTGAAACAGAGCGATTCAGATTGCACAAGGGAGCCGAAAGTGTGGCAAGTTTCCCATAGTTCAGCCTGCAGCAGGCACGTTCAATCTTTCAAAAGCCAACAAACAAGTGTTTGTGGGTCAATCACAATCTTATTGAACGGTGCATCAAGATCAAAGGGCTAAGCAGCCTACGCCTGATCCTAACTTGTGTGCTCGTATAGTTTGCATGAACAAAAATGCAAGCCGACTTGGAAACTTCTGCCCTGTCCCCACTGCTTTATGACAAAGCCATTTGCATGAATACAATTTACCTACCACAGGTACATGCAACAGTCTGTAAATTATGGTCACATTAATAAAAAGGTTCATTTTCTCACGTAGATACCAGCGTATGTGCTGTGCAAAAGTACTTTTTCTTTTAAAAAGGCCACCAGAGATGTTAGTTAAAATTCACAATACAACATGTAATAACGTATCTGAAGCAAAGAGATTGGTGTAAATGGAAAAAAAAACTGGTATTGACTAAGATTTATATTCACTGAGCAATTTTTTCAAAATTTGGGCCATTTATTACAGCTGGAGGACAGTATACAAATACAATGGAATTGTTAGTCTTCAATATAAAATCTCAAGCAGGCACATGGGTTTTACTGGAGATATCTGTATGTGAATGTGAAAAATTGAAGCAGATTTCACTTCAATCAGGTTCCTTTATTATATTCAGCGCACTTTCGTCAAATGCACTAAGAGGAGCTATTTCTGCCTAAACTACTCGCGTGAAAACACGAACTGGCAATGTTGAAATGAATAATGCAAGTGGATAGCAAATGGATTTTTTTTTGGCCAATACATGTGCCAGCTCATTTTAAGACATGGCAGCCTTGACTGGGGGAGAACCCAATTCTTGAAGTGGCTAAATATCCTTAAAAACTGTTTCCCACCCTGCTCCTCCTCACTCCCATTAAAAAGCAACCGCTACTTAACAAGAATGTAGACCAAGAATAATTTGTTATCACATATTTAAAACCTAAGGCTTAGAAGTGACTTTTTAAAGAATTTGAATTCCAATGTTGGCCATGCATAGTGGCTCAGTCAGGATCTGAGACATTAGAGACAGGATAATGCTTCAAGCATGATCCTCTTTCTCTTGCTGAAGCTGAGCCCTCTGCTGCATGTAGTGAATAAAATAAATCCCAGTGCTAAAATGGTTTGGAAATAGTTCTACTTTTAAAAAAATGTGCAAATCCTGGGAATCTGAAGTAAAACAGCAAACTCTGAAATAACTTCAAGTATCATCTGTGGAAATAGGAGTTAACATTTAACATTAAAATCTTTCATTTTCTCAATAACCTTAGAATTAAAACGAGTTAAATATTTCTCTTTTCACAGCAGCTACCTTTCTGAGTGTTTTGTATCACATCGTTTAATTTGGCAATGCAAACCTGCTTTTAACCATAAAAAGTTCAGCCCTAGATTGTGAGCACAGGAAAAGTACTTCAGACAATATCAAGCTTCATGCTTGTTTCTTTTGTGCACACCTTCATTCTTGCAGTTTAGTGCGTACTAAAGGTCTGTACGTGCCCGTCTTTACAATGTACTGCGAACAGTGAGTTGTTCTATATTTCAGCACCTTGCACACTAAAAATTATGATACAGACACTTGCAATTTTAGTTCTAATAATTTAACCAGTATGTTACTAACCTAATTGTTAAGACAGAGGCTCAGTCTTTAATAGTCACCTTAGTCAAAGCAAGACCAGGACTTCGTTCGTCATAAATAGACATTTGAAAATGAAAAACAAAAACAAAAGAAAGTATAGAATTTTAAAAAGTGTACATTTATAGCAACTAAGCTAATTTAATTTAGTTAATTTACTTTCACTTAGCTCAAACTAGTAACCTTGAGATTTATGCTACCAATGCTGCTTGTGACTCAGGGCATTAGTCACTAGAACCAATAACAGGGATCTCTACTGAACATTTGATGTAGTTAGATTAACAAGAACATCTGTGAACCCCGCAGGAGAACATTTTAGTAGTTCCACACAATCTCAGCAATTATACATAGAAGATATTTTAATTTGGTCCATATTAAACTCTCAAATAATGCACAGTTTTTGATTCTTGGATATCTAAAACCACAAAAAATCTTGATCCAGTCAAATCAGACCATGAATATTTCAAGATTCAGTTTCACTGATGTGTGATTAGTCAACAGGAAGTCCTCTAAACATACAAACACAGCCATTTGTACCTCATATCAGTTCATTGCCCTTGAGAGAGCTATCAATTTCCAAATCCATTCTCTCAACTGATCTAGTCTTCTAACCTTGCCCACCAGCATAGTTCATACTGATGTCAAAACGAAGTCCTTTAATGCAACCTGTACAAAGTCAGCCTATCACAGCTCAGTCCTTAAACACTGCACCAGCATCTAACCAATGCAAGTAAGATGCATTAAATAATATCACCGTATAGGCCATGGTATATTTCGCCACAGATGCAAGGTGCGACCTTCTCCAAAAATCAGTTTATGTGCTGCACTGTCTAGAACATCAGTTTTGCTTTTAGCTTGGTCATCTATCTGCTGCATCACCCTCAGAGCTCTTAAATGTTGACTGCATCACAGTGGGATATACTACACATAACAGTACTGAGGTTCAAATTCAGGTAGGTAAAGATTATGCTGACATGCACTGTTACATTGTGGCAGCCCCAACTCTGTGGCTGGAGTCAGCAGTGTCCTTTCATTAGCAGGCTGTGAACCAAGGCATTTTATAACAGGAATTTCTTCTTTGAATGCGCGAGGAAACTTCAGTGTTTCAAAGCCATAATGCCCTGTGGCCATGTATGGACTCATTCCCGCAATTTCCCAGGCTATCAATCTCAATCTTTTGGTCATAGCAAGCGAGGAGAAAGTACTTGCATTCAAAGTGGCAGTTTCCGGCATTTAAAAACATGTCACAAAAGTGACAATGTCTGAAGAAGTGTGGGATCAGAAGATGGCAGAAATAGTATACTTGCCAAAAAAAATTGAAGTATTTATTGAAAAATAACTCAATGGAAATATTGACGTCATGTGTCCTGTATATCTCATTGCCGTTTCTTTCAATAGATATTGCGATAAGTTGTTGTTTAACCTGGTCAGGTATCATTCCATGGAAGTTTTGCAATAAAAAATGTTAGTATGTGCAGATGAATCTTGATAAATGCATAACTCTTTCAAGGGTTGCTATTCATGTGTATTTTTAAAAAATGGAAACTTGAAAGTACCATTCCCTTTCTTAAAATTACTGTTGATTAATTGTGAACTTGAATGGCACCCTCAAAGAAATCAGAACATTTCGCCGAGCCAAAGTTAGGATCAAGTATCCTCTCTTTAGACACAGTACACTAGATTAGAATAAAGCTCCCTCTAATCTGGTCTAACAACGTGCCTTATCCGCAGTCTTTGCTGGAAACTGATTAGGCTTTCCTTTACTGGATGTGGTGTTTCTAACATTTTCCCATAACAACTTTACATATTGTGGTCTCCAACTGGAACCACATCCTCCACTTCGTATAACTTAAAAAGTAGTTTAACTTCTCAAAGTTAATTTGCATCTACTATAAAGTAGAAGACCATTTGGCTAATCTATAATGACAAGCCAATTGACCTTTTTTTTTAATGACTTACTAGAAATCGTACCGAACTATTCAGAGCTAGCTCAATTTTTGGGGCCCCAAGTATCAACAATACCTGACTAAATTTGCAAGAAGTGCCATGATTTAACAATTTGACCTTTTAAAAGATTAAAGTTATGCTCATATTGTTGATGTTTTGCTTTTAATTACACAAAAAAATGCCTAAATTCAAGAATTGAATTTACAGCTGGGCAGATAAACGTAACATTTATCTCAGCGACCATAACTGACAATGTTGTGCATAAACATAAAAGGATTTAATCAATCCAAAAACATGAAATGATTTAAGCACTGACACACTATAACAGATATTTCAATGTCAACACAAACGGCTCATTCTCGGTGTCACACATACTCTTCATTAATTGCAGATTTTAAATTCTGAGAGTCCAGTCTTGTTCTCTAATTCCGAACCAGTAGATACAGACAAGGCAACGAGGGCAATTGTCTGACTCTTATACATCATGTTTTTTTAAAAAAATTAAACCATATGTACCTTTTCATCGCCATCTGTTGCTGTTGCCTCCACCACTTTGTTCCTGGTTAACTTCTTCTTCACCCATCGTTCCAGCACAACGTTGAACTTCATAAAAGTCACATAGCATCCATACGCTGACAGCAAAATTACACTCTCCCACCAAGCGATGGTGTTACTCCGGAAGAAAAGTATGAGCAAGATCAGGTCAATGATATAAAAGGTCACATCTCGGAACAGGGGCCACCAGGTGAGATGCAAGATTTCTTTCGAGAATAGAGCGCACATCCCAATGACAAAGAGGATGTTGAAGACGGCAGAGCCCACTATAGTCCCAATCCCAACATTGCTGTGAGATATAAAAACTCCTATTAAAGAAGTGAAGAGTTCTGGTGCTGACCCACCTGCTGCCATGAAAGTTGCCCCTGCTACATCATCGGATATTTGCATTTTATCAATGATAACTGTCAATGAGGGTACAAAAAATTCATCACACACTATGGCTAAGGCTATGAACATATAGATCATGCCTAGGATGTGGAGTGACACAGCTCCTTTCCTCCTCTGTGCCAGCGAAAAGATGTCAGGAGGGTAATCTCCACTCTGGGTTGCATTATTGACCGAGGACGTGGCCACCCGCACTTCATACTTTAGAGCCAAGTCGGATTTGGGGGTATAATTCTGAAGCTTGGAAAATCTCGGTTTCTCCTCGAAGCCCAGTAGAGTTCTGCGTTGGAGCGGCGAGCTTTCAGGGTTGGCTGGCGTGCAGGCGAAGGCACTGAATAAGAGGGAGAACGCGCAGAGAGCCATCAATCCGAGGGAAAAGCCCAGGATCCGCGGCAGTCTCAGTTTCCTCATGATCCGCTGCTTGTGTCTCTGAAACGCTCGCCCAGCGCTGGCTATCTGCTGTTCCCTACAACAAACAGCTGGCTCCATAACTTCAGGCATTGAAGTCTTCGACTCCATGGCTGGCTTTATCATTCACTGAATAGAGATCTCCTTCTACTGTCCCCCCTCCCCCTCCCCCCCTTTCTGCTTAATCTTGACTGGTGGTAATAGAGTCTTCATACACTACTTGTCTTCATGATGATGGGAACAGCGACAACACAACAGACTTTAAGATGAACCTTGGATCTTCTCCTGCTGGAGGGACTGATGTGTGAACTCCACTGTGCTGCGGAAACAAGGCAATACTGAACTTAAAGACGTTCCTTAACACAGGCCTGCATAGAAGGTTAATAAAGCAGCTCTTGTACAAAACATATTCTGTTTCTTTCTCGAATCTGTTGATTGACTCTGCCTCCACTGCACTCTGGGGCAGCGAGTTTCACAGCCCTCAGAGAGAAGTAGTTTCTTGTCATCTCAGTTTTGAACCTACCACCTCTCACACTATCTACATCAATAACCTCTCGTTCCAGACTGTACCACAATCTGTCCCACATCCCCCTCATCAATGTCCTTTAGCATTTTATATACACCTCTCTCCTATACACACACACACAGACACTTCTACATATAAATATACCTCTCAATCTACCAACACACATGTACGTAGATATATCTATTTATATCTACAGAGCTATGTCTAACTACATACATCTATCTACATACAGATTTACGTTCCTACACCAGTTAATGTTTAAAAATAAAGAAACACCAAATTGGATTAAACAATGCTAACATTTACTGCAGTGAAATATGAAAAGGATGTCTCCATTCCACATTACCAGGGAGCAATAACGGCCGTCAGTCCGGAAAAAGTCAGCCTCCCTGTGTGTGTGAAGCCGTAACTAAACACAAAGGTAAGGCGCAAAACGAAAAAAAAACCCACTCAAGGTTTTAGCCTTTAATCACAGCCCAGTGACCCCTGCTGGTAAATGCAGCCTGAGGAGGCTGGGCGAGATCAGAACGCCTTTGAAGATCGACTGACGCTAACTCAACACTCAAAGCTAACGATTTAAGAATGTCCTCACGGAGATAAATAAGGTGGCGGCTCGACATAGAGCGGCCTGCCAAATGCTAACTCTTATCTCCCGAGGGAAGGCTGCAGAGTATCATGTAAAGTCCGAAAGCCATGCACACACACACACACTGAAAATAACAGGCACTAACCCCATCACTGCAAGCAGGACCAGCACAGCGGCGGTACACGCAGACACTGTTGCAAGGTTATTCATTCGCTTCGCGTTCAGTTCAAATTTGTTTCTAACTATCAGCTGGTGGTCTCCAGTTGCGTCACTTCATCAGAAAAGCTTCTTGCCCTTTTGTCTTTGAGAGACGATCAGAAGGCAGGGGGTGCCGGGGTGGGTGTGGGAGAGGGGAATAATCCAACGGGGAACATCGGAAATACTGCGCTGGCTCCACTGCGGGACAATTATTCAAAGAAACTGTTTGGTGACTGAGCAGAGCTGACTCCGCAGCCTAAAGGCGAACTGGATGTCACAGCAAACACTCCTAAGCCCAGTCAGTAAGGTAAAATGACACTGACAACGCGGACTGCCCGCCTTTCATTACAACAGCACACAGAATGTTCCCTAAAGCTTTTAGTGAAAGGTATGGGACATTGTACTGGTTTTCTGCCTAATAATAAACGCCTTTAAATTCGGCTTTGAACAACTCAAAAGGCTCATATCAACAGTGACCCTCACAGATTCATCATGTTTTATTGTTTATGAAAAATGACCAATAATTCTGTGCACGAGGGCCAGCAAATTTGTAGATTGCGCTGTAGTTTCAAAAATAAAATGATAGAAGGCACAACACCATGCTGAGGACAGCTTGCATTTGCATTCCAGATGAATGCATTTGCAGATGCTTACAACCTGAAGATTAAAACAAAAAAAAAATTCTTACCGTGATGTTCAGCAGCAGGCGGGAGTTGAAAAGTGGATTGGTGTCTTCTGCCTTTTCTTGTGTGGCTGTTGCCAGTGTTCAGCCATCAGGAGGAGCTGTGAGGGACTGACTGCAAACAGCACTCTCTCTCTCACACACACACTCAGCAACAGCACATTCCCATTTCTCTAGAGAATCACAGCGCCATCTCATCTCAACACAAATCGCTGGGGCAGGGAGGACAACACGTGAACTCCTCTTGGAAAAAGATCAATACCATTTAGACTTCTGGGACGGAAACGGTGTATATGTAAAAAATGAAAGCATTGGATAGGCAAGACATTTATTGAGCCAAAGCCCTTGGATGAATCTTTAACCTGGGAGTAGTAGTCATGGTTACGAACGCGGCATATTTGAATACACAGAGCACGTTTAGAGAATTTTTTTTTTGTCTTTGGAAAAGGGGTTTCCACTGGGGGGGGGGGAGAAAGGGGACATTTGTGGGATTGGGAGTGAGCTATAAGAGCTACTGCCCCATAGCAGTAAACCTTTGCCATTGGAACAGCTCCCAGCAGCAGAGAGCTCAATGCGTCAAACAGCAGGCTTGGAGCTGCAAGATGTTTCTCGCTCAGGAGATAATTATCACTGGCCACTCAGTCGGTTTTTTTCGCATGACCTTGTACGCTGCCCATGTATGTTTGAGCAATTTAATGAAAAGCAAACATATTTCAACGCTTCATGCAGTGGATGTTGAGCGAGTGTAGAAAAGTTCGCATTTAACATTCTTGCGTTTTGCGCATTCCCACAGTGTTTACAGACTACTAAGCAGGATGCAGTCAAGATTGAACGTGCTGGGATTGTTTTTTTTTATTTGCTGACTGGACTGCATTAGCTGTGATTAGCGATCTATTATTCTGCAGCGGCTTGAATGCCGCTGATTTAGATGAATTGCAAGTCAGCTTGTTGGGAGAATAGATAATTTGTTCATTTGAATGCGGAATAAGCTGGTCGTGAGATCCACTACGACGGCTCTTTGCACAGCTGCTCAGAAGCTGGATCCGAGTTTTTGTATTTTTGTTGCAGTTAGCATTTTGTCAGTTGGTATTTCGCGTTGGAAAGGGAGGTATTGTAGCTAGTGGCCACCAAGCTGCACACTGCAAACCAATTTGTTCGCGGATGGGCAGAAATAACATACCACAGAAGAAACTTGTAAATGAATTGATGTTGTGAAGAATGCCACAGAATTTGGTGCACCCTTAAACTGCACACTCCTAAAGATAAATGCCTTCATATATTAGGATAAAATACTTCTTTGTATATTTAACAAATATGTTGAATCTGCAATTCTTTCAAATTGTTGACAGTTATAGTTTTCAGAGAGAATCAATTCACTTCTGCTACAAATTTTGATTAAACATAGTTCCAGAAATTGTTTATAAACCAGATAAAACGTAATATTTTCAATGAAGAATTGTATTCTGTGGTAGAAAGATAATTTGCCCTTTTTATTAAAAAAAAAGAAGAATCTTCAACCAATCCTCTCAGAAGGCTGTTCGGTCATGGGAGACATTCTGTTCTATTTCTGAATCCACACGCTTATGCCTTTGGTAGGATCTCAAGGTTACAAATGTGCAATCTCTGCATGATTCCATAATAGTCAAGCACCTTCAGTGTGTAAATGGGAACACTGAAGCAATTATCCCCTTCTGATAACTTTTTAAAATTCATTCACGGGATGAGGGCTTTGCTGACTAGGCAGCATTACAACGGGATCTTGATCTTGACCAATGGGCTGAGGAGTGACAAACGGAGTTTAATTTATATAAACGTGAGGTGCTGCATTTTCGAAAGGCAAATTAGGGCAGGACTTTTACACTTATGGTAAGGTCCTGGGGAGTACTGCTGAACAGAGACATTGGAGTGCAGGTTCACAGTTTCTTGAAGGTGGAGTGTCAGGTAGGTAGGCTCGTGAAGGTGGTGTTTGGTATACTTGCCTTTATTAGTCAGTGCATTGAGTATAGGAGTTGGGAGATCATGTTGCAGCTCTACAGGACATTAGTTAGGCCACTTGTGGAATTCTGTGTGCAATTCTAGTCTCCCTGCTATAGGAAAGATGTTGTGAAACTTGAAAGGGTTCAGAAAAGATTTGCAAGGATGTTTCCAGGGCTGGAGAGTTTGAGTTATAAGGAGAGACTGAATAGGCTGGGGTTATTTTCCCTGGAATGTCGGAGGCTGAAGGGTGACCTTGACAGAGGTTTATAAAATAATGAGGGGCATGGATAGGGTAAATAGGCAAAGTCTTTTCCCCAGATTGGGGAAGTCAAAAACTAGGGGGCATTGGTTTAAGGTGAGAGGGGAAAGATTATAGAAAGTACCAAAGGGGCAACTTTTTTACACAGAAGGTGGTGCACGTATGGAATAAGCTGCCAGAGGAAGTGGTAGAGATGGGTACAATCACAACATTTAAAAGACATCTGGATGGGTAAATGAATAGGAAGGGTTTAGAGGGATATGGGCCAAATGGGATTTATCTAGGATATTTGGTCGGCATTGACAAGTTGGACGGATGGGTCTGTTTCTGTGCTGTACATCTCTATGACTCTATTTATTGCATATCCTTAATTGCCCAGAGGGCAGTTAAGCATCAACCCCAGTGAGTCACATGTAGGCCTGACAAGGTAATGATGTCAATTTCCCTCTCTAAAGGGTATTAGTGAACCAGATTTTTTTTCTAATAATCAACAATGGCTTTATGGTCATCATTAGACTATCAATTACAGATTTTTTGTATTGAATTCAAATTCCTTCTGTTGTGGTGATGTTTGAACTGGGTCCCTAGAACATTATGTGGGTCTCTGCATTAATAGTCCAGCAATAATACACTAGGCCATTACCACTCTGGGTCTCTGAGCAAGAATGTCAAATATACACGCTGCATTTGGTCATCAGAGGTGGACTAAATTTGGAAAAATTCTTACTTCTAAATATTTTCTAATCAATCTGTTCAAGCATGTATGTGGTATACCTCTGGAGTAGATGGGACTTGAACTCATGCCTGTTGACCCAACGGGAGGGAACGCTGCTGCTGCTCCACACAATCCCCAACCACAAATTCTGAGTTCTGCCCCACATCCCAAAATGGGAACCAAAGGATATCAATATAGGGATCATCAAGGCAGTAAAATCACTTCAGGTTAAGGAAGTGATGTCCTGGTGGAATCCATCCAATGCTGGCCAGTGCAACTTAGTGACAGGTTATTGTCAGAAACTCTGATAGCATCCCAATTACTATTAACCAACACATTGACTGGAACTGCCTCTTCTACCAAAATGTTCAGGCTTGATTTCTTTTTAGTCAGCAATATCTGATGCAAAAGAAAAGAGGAAATCAGGGCTCAGACCAAATTTCCATGACTTAATGATTCATTAGTGTGATTCGTGACTTAACCACATGGGACAAGAGAACCAAGAAATGGAAAGGGATGAGTCTAATGACATGGGGGTCTCAATACGGTTTCACTTGGCAAGGAAAGATTCCCCTCTTATCCTGCAGAATTTCCTACTCTCCTGTGCCCACTGTGGAGGATCTATTATTCCTAACAAGTGTGTGTAGTAGACAGTGTTTTGTGGTTGAAGCTCACTGCTAATATTCACAGGGGCACACAGTCGACTTTGTTTTTTCTGTCCAACTTATTATTTGAAGCATATATTCTATTGTGGTGATATTTAAAATTATGAAGGATGGGTTCATGAGCAATGACCTCGTTCAGTGATTGTGGACTCAGAGCAGAGGTGCATAAATTACAAGATAACATCTAAGAGATTTTTGTCATAGAGTCACACAGCACGGAAACAGGCCCTTCGGCCCAACTCATCCATGCTGACCAGGTTTATTAAACTGAATTAGTTCCATTTGCCGGCATTTAGCCCATATCCCTCTAAACCTTTCCTATCGATGTACCTGTTCAAATGTCTTTTAAATGTTATCCTTGTAATCGCATCTACCACATCCTCTGGTAGCTCATGCCATATACGCACCATCCTCTGTGAAAGAGTTGCCCCTCTGATCCCTTTTTAAATCTTTCCCCTCTCACCTTAAACCTATGCCTTCTAATTTTGGCCTCCCCTACCCTAAGGAAAAGGCCTTTGCTATTTACCTTATCAATGCCCCGCATGATTTTATAAACATCTATGAGTCTCCTACGCTCCAGGGGAAAAGTCCCAGCCTATCCAGTCTTTCTTTATAACTCAAACCTTCCAGTCTTGGTAACCTCCTTGTAAATTTTTGTTGTACCCTTTAATAACCTCCTTCCTATAGCAGGGTGACCAGAATTATATGCACTTCTCCAAATGTGGCCTTCAATAGTCAAAGAGATCTACAGCAGAGGAAAAAGCCCTTTGCCGATTTCATCCACGCTGCTCAAAAACAACTACTTTACTATTCTAATTCCATTTTCCACTACTTGCCCCATAGTCTTGTATGCCTTGGCATCGCAAATGTACATCTAAATACTTCTTAAATGTTATTTATGAGGGTCTCAGCCTCTACCAATGTTACAGACAGTGAGTTCCAGATTCCCTCCAGCCTCTGGGTGATAAAAAAAGTATTTCCTCAATGTTCAAGTGAAAAATCTTAATGTAGAATTTTAAGGGTTTGGAATTCACAGTCAACGTTAGTTGTAGCACAAGAATCTTTAGTGACAAGGGGTCCTCACATTTTTATTCCATACAGGACTCAGCCCGGACATTTGTCATGAATTTCAATGCAATAACTCAGGCTGAGGTGCTAGAAATTAAGAACAATAAATAAAATGTAAATATATTTAAGTACCAATATAGTTTATGTATTTATATCTTCGTGATATTTAATTAGACCTATTGAAATTCATATGCTTGAAGCTTCAATTGAAAGAGTGAGGAAACGATGCCTGCTATAGGACATAATAAGAACTGCAAGTAGCTGTTGATGTTCACATGAAAATAACAGCCATTTCCCCACACAAAAGCCAACAGTGATGAATAATTAGTAAAGTTGTTTTGCACGGTGCTGATTCAGGGAGGAATAACAACTAAGACACAGTAAAAGTCTGCTCTTCTTTGAGCATTGTTCCTGGGTAATCTTCATCCAGTGAAATAAAACAT